GCAATGGGATCCTGAGAGTGACAGCACAGACCCTGTGTCTGATGGAAGCAGAAGGTCCCCCACCCTGAGGCTTTCCTTTTGCCCCTCACACTTTCCCTTGGGGAATCTGCTGTCCTGTGGGTGGCACCTACACGCTAGAAGAGCATTCAAGAGCTGAGAGGTGGAAGTGCACCCAATGCTGGTTCAAGGGCTGCTTTTGAATGCGAACTACATGTTAGTTGACTTGGGCTCAGACACAGACTATGCCTCTGATGTTATGTGAAGTTGGGTAAGCCTTTATCTCTCTCTGGACAAGGTTGGGTTATTTCAGTTAAGAAACAAGGAGGGGGTAGGGAACGATGAGTCATCTGACTTTAAGTTCTCTAATTCTAATAATAAGAGCAAAGGGGATTATCCTGACATTCTGATTCTGCAATTTAGCTCCTCTGTTCTCTCCAGCCCATGAGCATCTTGAGGGCAGGATCATCCTATTTGTTCTGGAATTCATAAAAACAAGCACAGGGCCTGTCGCAGAAGAGGTGCCCAGTAAAAATTTATTTATTAACTCAACAAATATTTATTGCTACATGCTGGGGCTAAAGCATTGGGTAAATGAGATGAAGTTCCTACCTTTAAGAGTGTAATGAATGGTGGGGCATAAGCAAATAAGTCAATAGACACCTAAGTGAGGTAACTTCCACCAATGGGCAGTGCTGCAGACATAGTGACATGGGTAGCGACGTGGACAGTGACTCAGGTGAGAGGCCTCTCCGTGGTGCTCACAGCCGGCTGAGCCTTTGGCAGATGCGGAAGAGCTTCGGGACAGAGGAAAGAGCAAAGCAAAGCGCTGGTAGGTCCCAAATATGAAAGCAAGAGGGGAAGAAGGTAGGAGCAGATTGTAGAATATACCTGGGGCATCCTGTGCAGGGTGTTGTCGGCCCACATAGGATTTTGGGCATTATTGTAGCTTGGTAGGAAGCTTTTGGAGAATTATAATCAGGGACATAGCGTGATCGCGTTTATGCTTTTGAAAGATGCCTTTGGCAGCTGGTGGAGAACGGATTATGGAGCAAGGGAGAAAGCAGGAGGAGCTGTGAGGAGGCTCCGCAGGCGTCCAGGGAGAGGGGTGAGGGCTGGACGCGGAGACAATTTGGAGCGAGCTGAGGGGCCTGCTGATTTGTGGCCGCCCAGCCGGCCCGCCCTGCGCTCCAGCACCCTGGACAGCGCAGCCCGCTTGTTTCCCTGTAGCACAGGCTCTTTGAGCCTCTTCTGAAACCCTGAGCTTCCCTTGGGAAGCCCTCAGGACCCCTCCCTTGTAGATTTAAAAACAAATTAACAAAATTATTTGTTAGAACATTTTTAAGTTCATAGAAAAATTGAGTGGCAAGTACAAAGGGTTTTCCTTTACCCCGTCTTCCTATGGCCTTAAAACATTTTTATTTTTAATTATAGAGCACTTCAACATGCAAAAACAGAAAATATGTGTCCACCATGAATATAAGGTGGGCATTAATACTTGGCCATATTTGCTTCAAAGTTCTACCTCTTCAAAAGGAAAATCGATGGGACCCAGTAGGTACAGCTGGGCTGAAGCTGGGGTTGTTTCACCTGTCCCACGCGTTTTGTGCCGTCATTACCCCGTTATGCAATCCAAACTCTTATGTTCTATTGTAAGAAGGATTTTTCAGGTTTACATAAATCTTATAAAAATGACTGAGAAATATGCCCCATTTTTTTTCTTTTTTGTTTTTAATTTTTTGAGGACTAAACCCAGGGCCTCACAGTTGCTAGACAGGTGTTCTACCACTGAGTTAAATCCCCAGCCCCTATGCCCTGCTGCTTTTTTTTCACTGCGTGTTACATTTTGGAGACTCACCATGTTGATGCATGCTGATCCATACACTTACTTTAACAGTGGTAGATTACTTTGTTATTCTTCTGAAGTTTTCTTCCCTGCTGACTGGCAGTTAAGTCTTCTCTCCATTACATACTAAGATGCAATGAATATCTCTAGATGCATGTTCTTTTCACTTTAGTCCAGCATATGGGAGAGAACACTGTCGATGCCCCATCCAGGTACCTTTTACCTTTTGCCCTTTACCTGCTGGAGTGTTGGCTGCTAAGGACTCACAGCTTCTGCTTTCTTAGGAGATGCTCTCTTCCACGGAGCTATGCCACCCCTCCATGTGGAGCCCATAGAGTGACTGGCTAATATGGGCATACAAAACACTGGCTGCTTCTGCCTAAGGAAGATCATCTCTTGTGTTATGAGTGCTCCTGAGCTTCCTGGGGATTGATTGAAGCTAATCTCCAGCTGAGAACACCATTGCTTACACTTCCTCCCACCCTGTCTGCATTCCCGCTGCTCCCTTTCACCCGAGAGATGTCCCTCAATAAATCACCTGCTCAAGAATCCCTGTCCCAGGTTCTTCTTAGGGAACCTATTAGTTGTGAGTTGTCTGGGATGTAAATTGTTCATCTTAAAATTTGCTAAGCACTTCCAAATTGTTCTCCAAATTAGTTGTGCCAATCTACATTACCACCAGCAGTTTATAAACATTGCTATTTCCCATAATTTTATTCAATACTAATGTTACAGACTCATCAGATTGATGTAATATGTGGTCTCATTATTGTTTTAATTTGCATTTCTATGTTGACCAGTTGTAAACATGCATTGCATTTCCTTGTCCACTAGTTGAGAACAATTTTTATACCTTTTTTTGCCATTTAAATTTCTTCCTCTGTTATTTGTTCATATATATGGTGCATTTTTTCCTATGGCTTTTGGATGTTTTTGGTAAATTGCTTCTTTGGAATTTTTTGTTTGTTTTCATGGTCCCAGGGGCTGCACTCAGGTCCTTGTGCATTCGAGGCAAGAACGCTACACTTCCAAATTCTTAGCTCTTCTTTGTAGTTTAAAAAAATTATTTTGGAAACCCATCTCTCTTGGATATACAGGTTTCAAACAATTTCACATAGTGTATGGCTTTAAAAAATATTTTTGCCATATAAAAGTTTTAACTTTTAATAAAATGATTTATCATTGTCTTCTTTTATCATGTATGTTTGTTTTTGGTTTTTTGTTTTGTTTTGTTTTTTGGTACCGGGGATCAAACTTGGGACCTTGCACTTGCGAGGCAGGCGGCGGAACCACTGAGCTAAATCCCTGGCCCTATCATGTATGTTTTGTCTTGTTTTCTACCCTAAGATCATAGAGTTACTTTGCTCTGCTTTTTAAAAAATGTTACAGTGTGCTTTTTACAGTTAGGACTTTAATCACCCTGGAACTTATATTTTGTGAGTGGTGTGCACAGAGATCCAATTTTATCTTTTTCAATAGGGAATCTGAATGCCTTAACATCACCCACTGACTAGACCACACTTCCTTTTGTCATGTTCGAGCTCTCCTATGTACTTGGATCTGTTCCTCAGCAGTATTCTCTCTTTTTTTAATCTATTGGTCTATTTCTGGGATCTAATTGAACTATCTTAATTATTAGAGCTTTATATTGACTATTGATATCTGCTAGGGTAAGATTGCCTTCCTCTTCTTTTTCAAAATTGTCTTGGCTATTCTGGGTTCTTTGTTATTCCATATACATTTTGGGGTACCTTGTCAAATTGTAGGGAAAACTCTAGCGTGATTCTTAGTGGAGGTAAATTGTAGAGACTAAATTGGAGAGAAATCACCAACTTTGCAGCGATGCCTCCTCCCATCCATGCACATGGGGTTTCTCCCCGACCTGAGTTCTTCCTCTCCTCACTTTATGTGCCTTGACCAGGGACTGCCTAGAAAATCAACCTCCATGGCCAGGGATTTAGCTCAGTGGTTCCGTTGCTTGCCTCACAAGTGCAAGGTCCCTAGTTCAATCCCTGGTATCAAGGGAAAAAAAAAACAGTAAGAGAAAATGAACCTCCAAACCCTTCTCCATCCTTCCCTGCCTAACTAAAATGCTTCCTCCTCCAGGATGTCCTTGATGACGGCCCTGGGCACCCAGCCTCTCTGACTCTCACCTCTCCATGTGCCCCATTTCCTGGACACCCAGCACAGTGGACTCCACTAAGGGGGCCTCTTCTCACCCTTTAAACCTCCACTTAATCTCTGCATCTCATTGATCTTTGTGCCTCCAGGGCACATGGCACAGTAGGTGTTAATAGGGTCTGATGATCGGTTTTATGGAAGAGGAGGTGTAGTCATAGGTTTTTCCTCCTAGGTAACAGCCAGTTTTGTAGGGGTTGGAACTGAGTTTGGAGTCTAAGGTGAATACAGCGGGCCTGAAGTCAGATAGATCTGGCTTTGTGGTGGTCCTGCCATGTGCCACACTAGCCTCTCAGAGCATCCTTTTGCCCAGCTGATTTCTCCCTGTCCCCTCCCACTCTCCCGATTTGAGGCAGTCCAAGAGTGGAGACTTCCCTCCACTGGAGATCCTTTACCTGCTCACCTTGATAACCAGGGGGATCTTCCCTGAATGTCTGAGCCATTGGCTTCAATGGGCACACCTGGGCTCTGCTCTGCTTCTGTGACCTGCCCAGCCTCTAATGCCACCACCTTAGCTCCACAGCTATGCCTTTAACTGTGGACCTGCTCATTCTGTCTTCCCTTCCTGCCCTGTAGACCTGAGAAATTGCTCCTATGAGCTGTTCTTTCCACCAATGGGTGTCTTCTTTCAGGAGGACTCTGGCAAGGGCACTGTCCAGTGGCAAGGACTGCTCTGGGGTGAGGAGTGCCATCTGTGTCTTGGGAGACAGAACTTGCTTACAGATGCTCTGAGCAGAGCACCTGCTTTAGAGTCTGACAAATCGGGGCTCTGATTCACCCCAACCTCATGCTTGACTTGAAGGGAGCTGACCTAGATGAGACTTGGCCTCCCCAGGAGTAAAACAGGTGCACTGTTCAAAAAGACAAAGACAAGGAGCCCAGAATATAGTGGCTGGGATGCTACGGTGAGCACAAAGTTCCTGCTTTCTCCCCAAGCAGGGATGGAAAAAATGAGGACACAAGCAAAGATGAGGCAGAATTTATTCTCATTGTGGGTAAGTTCAAGACTCAGGCTGGGGGCCACCGAGAGGTAGACCCCTGGGACCTGAGGGGGACCCACACCTGGAACAGGGCCCACACCTTGGCAAGTACCAGGCCCACATACCCCTGTAACTGTGAGGATCCCAAGCCCAGAAACCGGGTGAGAGTGGGGTGGGTGGGGAGGAACACAGGGTGCTCCCCGCTCGAGTCCTGACCATGTTTCCCACTTCCATAGGAAGGAAGAGCAGCTCGGCTATATAGTAATATAATATATAGAGGTGGAGAGAGCTGGCCGCGGCACCTGGATGGGCTGAGACTCCCCGAATTATTGCAGAAGGGAAAGGGGGCTCAGTGCTGGTGTCTCGCGGGGTAGCTGTGCTGGCTATGGGGAGGGGGTGGGCAGGGGCTGGAAGCTGGGTGGCCCCTCCCTCTGGGTCTGGCAGGGGGCACTGGGGAGGTCCTTGGGCCCTGCCTGCCGGACTTCCCTGGGATGGGCCTTTCTCACCCTTCGTGCTTTTTATGTGCTTTGAAGACCATTTTTGCATTGTCAGGAGTGAGGAAAAAATATTCTGACATGGTAGAAAAGAGATATTTACATACCCTGGTGGGCCATAAGGAGGAGGGTCAGTCAGTTGGGGGGGGATCCCCCCCAGGCCCCTCCCACCCCAGCTGGCTGCCTGGGGAGGTGGATGGGGAAAACGAGCCCTGGGCTGGGAGGCAGGAGGTTCCAATTTTGAACTCGGTTGCTATGGGACCTTGGACAAGGTGTACCCCTCTCCAGGCCTCTGTCTCCCCATGTGGTATAGGAGTTGGGAACTGGGTCTAGGACCTTATATTCCCTGACCCTAAGCATGGGGTAGGGGGTGGGGTGGGGCTGGGGAGAGAGATGTTGGCAAAGGGGCTTCCACAGGAGGAGACCTGGGTGCCACAGGGGGCATCAGAACCAGAGTGTAGTTGACGGCCTGTCAGCCCCAGCTAGGCAGCCCAGTCTAGTCTTGAGTGCTCTGCCCTGCTGCCTATGAGAAAGGTGGCCAGACAGACTGGCCAGAAACCCTGTTTTCCTGTTGGGCAGCAGTGGGAGCCAGGTGGAAGCTGCAGGTGGCCCCCCAGCTGAAGGGAGGCCCCGGACCTGAGATACAGCCGGGGGTGGGCTCACCTATGCAGGGACCAGGGCAGGCCTGGTGCTGGTGTGGTTCAGAAGCAGCCCATGACTCCAACCTCCAGATGGGGGGGTAGGGGCACAGGAGCCTCTGCTCAGTCCCCATGGGTGCTGGGACCTGGGCAGTGCCACGCTGATGCCTGACTCGCATGAATGAGTTCCTGATTCATGATGCATCACACCCAGCCCCAACAGACGAGCACACACATCCTAACTCTTGTGCACCATGCTAGGACCTGACTGCGGACACACAGGTGATCACACGTTGTCCACATGGGTCCCCGCCACCTCGTGACAGCACACCCCTATGGCACACTCATACACACACACATACAGGCACACACACACACATACGAGGCGGTGGTGACATCTCTGTTGGACTCTGCATCAAGGGCCCAGGCTCTGGCAGAGAGGGAGCCCCTGCCCCAGGAGGCAGCTGTCCTGGCCAACTGGGCACCAGAGGCCGAGCCTAGGTGCTCAGCCTTGTGAATCTGGGTACTGAAGCAGAGCCTTCACCTCTCTGTCTCTGGAGAGTGGGACAGGCAGGGCCCTGGGGTGCTCTGACTGCTGCCAACCCCACTGGTCCTCTGATAGCTGGCACGACCCCATGCCCAGAGTCAGAGGTGCCGCCGGGGACCCTGGGTGCTGGTCAGCTGGGCCCTCATGGTCTGGATGCTGCCCAGGATCTTCTTCTGGTGGCCCATGAGAGTGATGCCCAGTGCACGCACATCCCTGCAGAGGAAGCGAGGCGCTGATCAGGCTGATGAGGAGGTCAGGAGCCAGGAAGACAGCGCTGTGCTTGTCCCCTGGAAATACCCTTCTTCAGGCCCTGCCCCTGCCCTGCCCCCATCCCCTGGGCCCCTCAGCACCCTTCACTCACTGAGCGTCCATGCGAAGCACCATGCCCAGGGAGGAGTAACCGCCGGCGGCGAAGTGGTCTCGGTACCGGCCCATGCGGATGGAGTCCAGCCAGTCCCCCACCGTGAGGCCCCCGCCGCCACCCCCGCCCCCTCGGAGGTCAAAACAGCTCCTGGCAAAGGCGGGGGGTGGGCACCTGAGGCATAGAGCCCTGTGTTAGTGGCCTGCCAGGGCTGTGCTCTTCCTTGGGGACTCCAGCACTGGCTACCCTTAGCTTCCCTCCCAGCTCAGCAGTGGGCAGAGGGTTCTCAAGGCTAGATGCCAGGGTTGGGGGATGAGCCCCGGCAGGGTCTAGCCTGGGGATCAGGCCAAGCTGTCCCAGGGACTGGATCAAGTCCAGGCTTGGTCTGGGCCAACGCTGGGTCAGCCACTGGGCCTCGTCAGGGCTTGGGTAGGGGCAAGATACCTGCCAGTCGTGGCTGTGGCTCTGAGACTCTCAGGGCTTCGAACCAGTGCGTCAAGAACGCTGACGATGTGGGAGAAGCGAGGCCGCTGGGCCCGATCCTTGTGCCAACAGTCGAGCATGAGCTGGTGCAGGGCTCGGGGGCAGCCCATGGGTGCGGGCAGCCGGTACCCCTCTTCCACGGAGCTGATGACCTGGAGAACAGCACTGGGCTCAGGCTATGCCACCCCAGATCGCCCTGTGCACTGCCCAGCCTGGGGCCCACACTCACGTCCCGGTTGGTCATGTTCCAGTAGGGCCTCTCGCCGTAGGCCAGCACCTCCCACATGACCACGCCAAAACTCCACACGTCGCTGGCTGAGGAGAAAGTCCGGAAGGCAATGGCCTCCGGAGCTGTCCAGCGGATGGGAATCTTCCCGCCCTGTGATGGATGCAGAAGTGTTGAATCTGGGCTTCTCCACCATCCCGAGTCAGAAAGCTGAACTCTGGGAGCCTGTTTCAGCCAGTACGGCAGACACGACCCCCACCTTCTGGGAACACCTATCCTGAGAGGGGACGCCCACCTCACAGAGCCACTGTGAAGACAGAATGAAACAGCATGCAGAGTACCCAGCATGCAGTAGATGCTTAACAAATGCCAATCGACAGGTCCAGGCCTGAACCATGAGGGAGTGCAGAGGACAGACCTGGCCATTTTTTACTCCTCCTTTCTCCTCTCTCTCCTCTTTATTTCTTTGGTGTCAGCCTCCCTCCTCTGGGGAAACCTGATTCAGAGGCCCAGTATGAGAGAGCCAGGGGAGAAAGCTGTGCCAAGGTAAAGCGGGAGAAACCCAATCTCCACAGCGCACACAGGAACTCAGCTGCTTTTAGAGACAGATGTGGAATCTGTGAGTGATTTGGAGGAAGTGACAGCTGAAACCAGCCTTGTTTTCCCAGGCAGCTGGTGACCAAGGAAGGAAGGCAAGGCTGTCTCCATGTCCCTGGGGGGGTGACTTCCAGAGGCAGGACATGGCCAGGCTGGAGGTGACCCTGAAGCTGGTGACTTCACGTGTGGGGGGAAGGTGGGGCATGGTTGGGAGAGCCTGCATGTGCCACCTTGCTCTTCAGGAGGTGTCCAGGTCACGCACCGTGGTGGTGTAGGCAGCGTTGGGGTCATCCTCCAGCACCCTTGAGAGCCCGAAGTCGGACACCTTGCAGACCAGGTTGCCGTCAACCAGGATGTTGCGGGCAGCCAGGTCGCGGTGGATGTAACCCAGGTCTGAGAGGTAGCGCATGCCAGCACCCACTCCTCTGAGCATGCCCACGAGCTGCATGATGGTGAACTGTCCGTCGTGGATCTGCAGAGGGACATGGCATGTCATGTCATGGACTTCAGGAAGGCCCAGTGGGGTGTCTGGCCCCAGGACAGGTGTACTGCCCACATGGGTGACACTCAAGAGTAGAGGCAGCTCTGTGCCGTGGTGCAAAGTACTTTGCTGCTTACAGAAGCACTTGCAGTTCAAGGGTCCCCTGTACACTCTTGGCACCCCTGTGAGGCAGGTGGGGCAGCCATGACTGTTTACCCATTTTGGAGGAGAGATGGAGCCCCAGAGGTTAAGCCCTGTGCCTCAAGCACCCACCAAACACCTGTCAGGGCAGGAGGTGTGAATCTAGCCACCTCCTCTAAGGTGGTGGTGTAGGCTGCATCAGACCCCACAGACACCCTTCTTGGCTGGGGGAGGGGAGCAGGACCCATAGGGCAGCAGGGCTTTCATGCTGGGGGCTGAAAGGCGTATGACTGGCTGGCTCTGAAGACCCCTCCTTGTCCCTACCCCCCTCCCAGCACCCAGCCTGGACTCCCCACTCTGGGTCTGGTCTGTGCGGACAGCGGGGTCTGGACACGCACCCTCAGGAAGGCGTCCAGAGAGCCGTTCTCCATGTACTCGGTCACGATCATTGCCAAGCGGCCTGGGTGGGGAGGAAAGATGGGCTCTTGGCAGGGGACAGGGCTGATCAGAGGCCCCAGGAACATCCCCACCCAGGAGCTGGGTTAGCATGGAGGGTCCCGGGGAGGCTAGGAGTCCCAGCAGGGTCCTGGGCTCTGGGCACCCCGAGATTCATCCAAGGACCAGAACCAAGGGGAAGGGGACAGGGCAGAGGCCCCAGAGGTGGACTCAGAGCTCTGTCTGAGCAGGAGGGGCCCTGCAGGGTGAGGCTGCCCTTGCCTGGCACCTACCACGGGTGACGACACCCTCCAGACGGATGATATTGGGGTGGTCGAACTGGCCCATTATGGACGCCTCACTCAGGAAATCCCGCCGCTGCCTCTCTGTGTAGCCAGCTTTGAGGGCCTTGATGGCCACAGGCATGTCTAACTGACCCGGCACCCGCAGCCGCCCATAGCAGACTTCGCCGGACTCCCCTGGAGACCCCAAGAGGGGCAGGTGGGAGAGGGCAGTGGGCCCCTGCTGCTCTCCCCCGCCTCTCCCCCTCAGTTTCTCTCTCCCTCCTCACAGCCCCAGGGTTACCTGAGCCAATGATTTTCTCGATGTGGATCCTGGAGGCCTCAATCTCTCGGGTGAAACCTCGACCTGCTCGACCTGGTTCCTCGTAGGTATGGGGTTCTGCGTAGAACTGGGGCTCTGGTAACTTCCCGGGGGGGTGGTGCAGGGGCAGGAAGACAGGTGGGGGTGCTGAGGGAGTGGGGGAGAAGAGCCGTCTGGGGGGCCAGGAGGGATTTCTCTCTCCCAGCATTCCCTGGGCCTGGGGTGGGGTGGAGGTGTCTCTGGGAATCCCTGGATGTGACGGTGAACAGTAGGTGCTCCACCAGTGCGTGCCAAGTGAAAACATATAGTAGCTTGGGTCTGGGTTGCCACATGTCTTGTTGTTTTTTGGGGTCACTTTTGGAGTCCTTAAGAGCTTTCTAAACTTCTCTGGGTGGGGATGTGGCCAAAAACAAGGGTTCATCACAAATGCCAACTCAGACTGGAAGATGGGTCAGAGGATTTGGAGGGTGCATTCCTCCCAGTGGGAATCAGTACTGGGACTGATCCTAATGGACACCGAAGTGGGGTGCAGAGGTATCCCCATATTTGCCTTATTTTCTGGGGTCCCTACAGGATCCTGAAAATCTCCCTGTAGTAGAGGTTCTTGTCCAAGAGTATATGAGCCCCCTGAAGTCAGGCAAAGTATGTGAGTGTGCATATCCGTGCAGTCTCTGGGGAGAGGTCTCTGCACCCTCCAGGGGTCTGGGAGACAGCCAAGGAGCAGACAGCCTCTGGGGCCGGGACTCTGTGACTCCTGCTTTCTCTCTCTCTCTCTCTCTCTCTCTCTCTCTCTCTCTCTCTCTCGGCACCATCCCCTTCTGACCTGGGCCACCAGCCCTGCCCTGGGTCCCTCCAGATACCCCTCACCCCAGGCCTGGGCCCTGCACGAACCCTGCCCACTCTGGTAGTGCATCTTCTCCTCGTCAGAGTCCTGGAAGGCCTTGCTGTAGCCACAGTGCCTGTGGGGATGGTCATGGCAGGGGACAGGTCAGGGATGCCCTCTTTGATCCCTTTCCCTGACCAGCTCCTGCCCTTGTGAAGCCTGCAGAGGAGAATCCCCACCCTCCAGACCTCATCCCATGCAGCTGAAAGGTCACAGCTGAGACAGTCACAAAGCAATTTGCAGTCTACAAAACACCCTGAAGTCACACTCACCCTCACAGCAAAGCCCCTGCCCCCAACTTCACTCCACTGTGTGGCTTTGACAAACCCTTTCTATTCTCTGGCCTTGGTTTCTCCATCCATTAGATGGTCCTTTTGATTCTACTGTCTGAGATCCTAAGACCCATTCATCACTATCCCACCTCCACCTTCCCCTGGAACAGAGTGGCAGAGGAAGCAGTGACTAAGAGCATGGTCCTAGTTTGACAGCCCTGGGTTCATGTCCCAGCTCTGGTGTCTATCAGCTGTGTGACTTCTGCAAGCAGTTTAACCTCTCTGGTCCCAAATTTACTCCCCTGAAAAATGAAGCCAGATAATCTCTGCCTCTCTGGAGTATCACTGAGATTAAACAAGATAATGTGTTTGTAAGTGAGAGAGGCTGAGGACAGGCAGGCGGCACAGCATTTAAAAGGAGGGCTTGGGGGCTAGGACCACACACCTCTTTTTGCAGATGAGCAGGAGAAGAAGTACAACTAGGCCTGTGATGAGTGTCAGGCAGATCCAGACGATGGTCCGGGTGTCATAACGGGGCCCTGTGGGGTAAGTGGGGTGTGTGGGTGAGAGTAGGGAAGGCTCAGGCACCCCAGGCCCAGTGGGCAGCCTCTGTAGCTGTGACCCGGCCTTCTGTCCCCACCCAGCCTCTTCCAGCTTCTCCCTCAATCCCTGCTGCCTGGGGCTGCCTGGCTTCCCAGGGCCAGAGCCGCTGCTCCTGGGGCTGTGCAAGCTGGGGAAAGTCACTTCACCTCTCTGAGCAAAATACAGATGAGCCCAAAACACCTGTCCTGCCTGTGGCTCTCACAGTCCCAAGGCGGAGCGTGCTGAGAGCTGCCTGCCAGCCTGGCTCACCCCTCCCAGTGGTATCTGCATTTTCAGGTCAGAAAATTGTGGCTCAGAGAACTCGAGGAACTTCCTCCAGGCCACCCAGTAAGTGGGACAGAAGGGGCAGGTTTTCCAGGTCCGGTCTCAGGGTGGGGTTAGACTGTTGAGCACCGGAGACACCCAGGGACCAGGGGAGTAGCAGGCAGCTGGAGCCCACGGTGGGGGAGGGGAGCGGCCTTTGAGCCAGCGCTTCTAGATCTCCATGCCTCAGAGCCACCCTGAGGGCTGTACAAGCCCAACGCCCAGCCCCCCTCGCCAGGGTTCCTGATTCAGAGGCCCTAGGGCCCTGGGAACGAGCATTTCTGGTAGCCTGATGCTGCTGGCCCCAGATCACACTTGGGGACACCTGGGGGCTGGCAGCAGGATGATACAGGGGAGGGACCTGGAATTGGGACCCCAGAGACACCAAGCTCTACTGCCCTGTGACCTTGGACAAATTGTCCTTAGGGCTCTGACCCTCATCTTCTCCTAAAACAGGGATGCGTGCAGCACTAACTCTGAGAGTTGCCTCCCAGATGCGTTACTGGGGTCCCCTGCCCCTGACAAGGACATCACAGGCTCGTGCGGCTCACTGATGCTTAGGAAAACCCAGCAAGGGGATGGAGCTCTGTGGCTCGCTGTGTGGCCTCCAAAACGTACTCGTCCTGCTCTGAGCCTCGGTTTCCCCCTTGTAAAGGGGCAGACTACAGCCCCTCTTCAGGGCAGGACGCTTGCGTGGCGCCGCCCCTTTCTCCGCCCCGCCCCCTGCACTCACGGGGTTTCCCGGTCTCAACCTCCATGGCCTGGCTGAAGCGGCCGCAGCCCGCCGAGGTGCGCGCTCGCACCTGGAACACGTAGCGCGTGCCCGGCTTGAGGCCCGACACGGTGGCCCGCGTGGTGACGGCCTTGAGCGTGGAGTAGCTCTGCGTCTCCTTGTCCTGCGGAAGGGGCGTGGTCAGCGAGGCCCCGCCCCGCCACCCGCCCGCCCCGGCTGCCCGCTACCTTCTCGTAGTACTTGATCTCGTACTCCAGGATGATCCCGTTGGGCTGCTCGGGCTCCTGCCACAGCAGCGACACGCTGGTCTGCCCGGCGCGCTCCTGCCGGATGGCCACCACCTGCGACGGGGCTGGGGGGCCGCGGCCGGTGGGTGGGGGGCTCCGCCCAGGCCCTTCCACCATCCCCCTACCCAGGATCCCACTTGCTGCTCCGGGGGAGCCGGTGCCCCTGTCCTCACCGCACGGCGCCGGGGACTGTGTCAGTCCCGGGTTTGCACCTCCTGGCTGGGGTGGGACGCGCAGTGCACTTGATCTAGGCAGGCCTGGCTGCCCCAGAGCGCCCGTCCCCGTGCCTGGATGGAGCAGGCGCTCACGGATTTCTCCCATGGGAGCTTAAGGGTTCTAGGGTCACACCGGGTCCCCCTGCTCGCTAGCACCCACCCTCCACCCCGACCTGTTTTCCTGAAGGGAGGCTGCTGGGAGGTGAGGTGTTGCATACAGTGTCCACGAAGGCCAAACTGAAAGAAGTGCCCACCGTCTGCAGCCTGTCGCACCCTCTCCCTCACGCCTCCCCCGCCCCCTCTGACTGTCCCACACCCCGCCTGGCCATTCCTCCAAGTCCTGTCCCAGCATGCCTGAGAGCTCCTTGAGGGCAGAGACTGCACACAGAAGATGCCCAACAAATGCTGCTGGATGTCTATGACTAGGAAAATTAAGAGGCAACTGCAGAATTGTGTTGGTGGGGTGTGGGACAGTGGAACTGGCCTGCCTGGGAGATGGGTGTGGGCTCACAACGGGGCTCCCTCTCTGGCTAGCAGTAATCTCAGTTAAGTCACTGCTATTTCTGGGCTACAAGTGGGCAGGTGACTTAACAGAGATGGAAGAGACTGACTCTGAACTCAGGAGAAGCAAGGCCCTGTGGATAGGTAGCAGGAACAGGGTTCTGAGCACCAGGCATGCAGGTCTGTGTCTCACTGTGGTGCTAACGACCAGCATGGGACTAAACGGAAAGTGGCTGCCAGTGGAGGGACCATCGGCGGCAGGTGTACTGTTTATATGGAGAACGGCCCCCAAAGACTCATGCGCTGAGATGTGGGTCTTTGGGAAGATGATTGCATTAAGGGGTGCCATGGCTGACTTGCTGTTAGGAGGTGGAGCCTGCTTAGAGGCGGGTCACTGGGGGTGTGGCCTGGAAGGGTGTCTCTCCCTCCCTGGCTCCTCTCTTCTTTCTGCTTCCTGGCTGCCATGACATGAGCAGCTTTTCCTCAGCTGTGCCCCTCTGCTGTGCTGTCCTGCTTGGGAGCCAGTGGACTAATGGACTAAAAGTGTGAGCCACAATGAACCTCTCCTCCTTTAAGCTGTGGCTGTTGTGTCCCAGTGACAAAGAAAGTGAATAAGACAATGGGTGAAGCTGGGGTGTCGAGAGGGGCACCCTGGATGCAGAGACTAGGCTGCCTCACTGGGGCTGGGGGAGGCCTGAGTTTGAGTGTTCACAGCCACTTCTTGTGTGGACAACACTGGGCAGCTTTCTGGGCCTCAGTTTCTCTCTCAGAGACTGACTGGGAATGTGCAGAGCTGGCAGGAACCTGAGGGGTCCTCAGAACTTCAAGCGTGGCTGTTCACAGGGAAACTGCCCTCATTGGCCTCTTAAATCAAGTTGTCACCCAACCGGCAGGACCCACCAGAGTTTGGAAAGAAAGAGCTTCCAGGGGCTGAATTCTGCTAGCAGCAGATAAATGGCTGAGGTCCAAACTAGTGAGACCAAAGCCATCCCAGGGGCAGCCACAGCAGCTGTGCTGGAAAATGATCATCAAAGTGATTTTATTTTTTAATGACATTTGTTGGGCACGGACCATAGGCCAGGTGCTGGGCTAAGCATTTTCATTTCTCTCTTCTAAGCCTCACAACAGTACAGAAGGCAGGCACTATTTTTCCCATTGTACCCGGGGAAAAACAGGTAGAGACAGGGAAAGTTCTGGAAGTCAGGCTTCTGGTGGTTTCATGAGCTGCCTGTGCCTTCTGTATTCCCCCTACTTATGGAACATGTTCTTTTTTTTCCTCTTTGCCATACTGGGAAGTCAACCTAGGACCTTCACAGTGAGCCATATCCCTAACCCTTCATTTGCTTTTAATTTGGAGACAGGGTCTTGTTAAGTCCCTAAGTAGCCCAGGCTAGGCTTGAACTTAGGGTCTTTCTACTTCAGCCTCCCTCCCAGAGTGCTGGGATTACAGGTGTACACCACCATGTCTGGCTCATGTTTTACTTTTCTCTGGGTCCTGATGGGGAGGGTAGGGCCCACAGGGGCAGGCACTTGCTCCAAGCCCACAGCAAGATCAGGTATCACCCTGATCCTGATCCCAGGCTGGGGATGAAGCATCTCCACATACCTGCCTGATTCGTGGTGATGTTGACCACGGCAGCCCGGCGGGGCTCAGGGCTCAGGTCAGACACGCCATTGACAGCCTCGATCCAGAAGGAGTAGTTCGTGTGGGCCAGCAGGTTGGCCACCAGCAGGCTGGCCTGTACCAGGCTCTTCTGCTGCGGCACAAAGCGGGTGCCGCTCCCACACGCTTCACATCGGCTCAGTGTCCACGGGCAGCGGCGGCACATGGCATTGTAGGTGATGTCACTGCGGCCACCTGGGTCCAGGGGAGGGGCCCACTCCAGGGTCACGGATGTCCCATTCACACTGGAGATCAGGTTCACTGGTGCCGAAGGTGGCCCTGGGGGACAGAGAATGACAGAGGGGTGAAAGGTGTATTTTTGGGCTTGTTTAGTCTCCCCACCATCAGACCAGGAGCTCCCAAAAGGAAGGTTGCCATCATACACAGGGCTCCTTAAGAATATGGTCACATCTACTCTGTCCTTTGGAAGCTCCCTGAGGACAGAGGCTCTGTCTCTGCCATCAGAATGGTGTCAGGATCTGGGCCCAGGGATCCAAGCAGGCACCAAGCAGAACCCAAAACTTCCATCCAGAGCAGGAGGGAGACCCTCAGTCCTGGGTTCCCAGAGCAGCCCTCTCTACTGGCTATTTGTACCCACAGGCATCCCCTCAGCTTCTGTGTTGGATTTAATGTAAACTGCAACTGAACACTTGGCATGGAATAAAGTGGAGCTGAGGAAGTGCCCCGTGTATCTCCCCATGGCTCTGTGTGCCAAGCAGCCCCTCCCCAATCCCCAGCACAGGGCCCCATCTGGGCTGCATGAAGACTTTGGACTGAGAGGGGCGGCCACTTGGTGGGGCAGAGCATGCGGTGAGGCCAGGATAGGTCCTTGTGGAGGTTGGAGCTGGGAGGACCTGGGGGGCTATGGGGACCCCAGGCCTCAGAATCCCAACTCTCAGAATCCTAGGCAGGGAACGTGAAGTCTTTAGAAACTAGCACTGTAGGATTTCGGAATCTCAGACTCTTACATTCTGCAGAGAAGAGGAGTTTGCAATCAGGAGGGTCTGGAATACCAAAAACCCAGTTTTTTACAGTCTCAGGATTTTTAGAATCTTAAGGGACTGAATTACAGGGTTTGGAAAGAGACCAGAGTCCAGCCAGCTGTGCACAAATGCCCACCACTGAGAGCTGGGCTCACCTTGCCTGAGGCGCTCACCCCGTCACCCTATCACACAGCTGTCTTTTCTGCCTGACAGGCCCCATGTGGGGACACTGCATAGGTCTGGCCAGAATAGTGGAAGGAAGGTGGGCACATGTGAGTGTCTGGCACACGAGGGTGTGAATACACCTGTGCCCTCACTGGACCGTGCAGGGGGCCTGAGGCTGGGTGGTGTTGGTGGTGGGGAGGGATCAAGTCTGCAGAGCCAGGGTTTGTAAATGGAACACTTTTTGTGGGCTATAGCCCCAGGCTGGTGGGCTGTGGGTAGCCACTGTGGGGCAGGTTGAGGACTGGATGGAGGAACTGCAGCACAGACCACTGAGAGAGTCACTCAGCCCTGTGGGCACAGGCAGGCAGGAGATGGAATCCCCGAGCCCCATCAGATACATAGCCCTGGCACCCACTCTCTAGGCCCACACTTCCTTGCAAGGCCAGGCATGCACACACACTCTGATGCCTGCTGAGTTCATGTGTTTGGGCATGTGTGCCCCCTCCAGGGACCCTGATGTACACGCAGCTGCTAAGAATCCTTTACATGTGCACACTGCACACTCCCACTGAGGTGTACGAACACCGTGCAGAGGTCTGCACTCAGACACACACAGTCACACCATCCTGGTGGTATCCTGGGGCACACTCAGGCACACATACCACACACAGGCAGCACTCAGCACACAGCAGCCCCGTGGTCCATCCAGGATGGTGGTGACAAGGTGCTGCTCTGAGTCCCCTGCACCACAGGTCAGAACCTGGCTCGCCACCCACTGACCAGGACGTCAGTGTCAGAGGTGACCAAGCTGCCCCGTGCTGGGAAGGCATCTGTTCTCCAGATTGCCAGGAGAGACCAAGGGAGGGATGGAGAGATTCTCCCAGAGAGACAGCAGGTGACACATGACAAGAGGCTAGGAATCCGCAGCGAGTGGTCCAGGCCACTGTTAAGGAGTTGCAGTGCTGTCCACTCTGCACCGGGCTCTGGTCCCACAGACCCGGCCTTGCACCACCCACGGAGCACTGGGACCTGGCATGGGTGCTGGGCCAGCCACGGCATGAGGGTGCTGGGCCTGGGGTGGTACTCACGGGTGCAGGCTGCGGATGGCGGGTCCAGGGCTGCACGGTAGTAGCTGAGGTCACAGCGGCAGGTCTGGGCAGCAGGGGCTGCAGAGTGGCTGTGCAGAGGGCAGCGGGCACACAGCTGGTCCCCAGGGGCTGATTTGTAGAAGCCTAGCTCGCAGGCTGTGGGAGAGAAGGCAGCTGCAGGTGAGCAGGCCAGGTCACCCTGGCAGGCCTTGGGACAGCTCTCCCTGGGACCCCCAGAGAGACAGAGGTGCAGATTGTTCTTCAACAGCACCCAAAGTTAACCACATTTGTAGATGGAGGGACTGAAGCACAGAAGGGTCTGTGGCTTACACAGAGCTGCACAGCACACTGAGGGCAGAGCTGAGTTGGGGCTCTGATACCTAAGTTCCAACCCCAAAGTGAGCTTCTCCAAATTCCCCAACCCCTCCTACAACAGGCCTTCCCACCCGGTATCCAGTCTCGGATCCTGTCCTTCATGGGACTCTGGTCCTTGGGGGGTAGCATCAGGGGGCTGAGAATGGAAAGAGCCAAAACCTTGGATGGGATGTAAAAGCTAGATAGGGATTGTGACCAGAAAAGAGATGGGTCCAGAGGTCCCCAGGTCCCCAAACCACAGCAGACACAGAATCACCCCCTAACAGTACAGATTTCAGCACCAAGTGAGAAGAGCCAGGGCCAAGGCCAGGCTCCTCAGGTAACCATGCAGGGAACCTGGGTTCTCCCCTCGAGTCCCACAGCATCACCTTCACCTCACTGCCACTGACTTTCTTCCATCTGACCTCTCTCCAGCCACTGCCACCTGTTTCCTTTCACCTGGACGATGACTGAAACCTCTAGCTCTCCCTACCTCACACCTCCCTGCTTTCCAGCAGACCGGTCATCTGCTCTACTACCATGAGGAGCACAGTCAGAACCAGGCTGCTCCGGTCACTGAGACACAGCCCTGAACAAAAACCATGGGGCCTCTGCCTTCCAGCTGCTGCCATTTAGAGCTGCCCAGGTAATGGAGCTGTGATTGTGTCCAGCAGGGAAATAGAAGATGCCTGGAGGAGCTACCTTCCCAAGGAGGAAGGGAAGGATGAGCTGTAGCCTGAGGGGTAAGAACAAACCAGCCATGCAGGGAGTGGCTCAACCACACTGTAGGTTGAGGGAATCTCTAAGATGTGCATCTTGCTCTGTCATTGCCTGCTCAACCCCTGGAGGACTTCCTAACAAGAAAACCTGGCATCCAATGCCCTCCCTGCTGAACCAAACTACTTGCAGCCTCCTTCACCCCTATCCTTAGGCCAAACTAAACCACTAGCAGCAGGGTATTTCCTGCCTCAGGACCTTTGCATGTGCCATGCCTTCTTCCTGGGATGTCTTTTCTCTTCTGTCCACCTGTTGAATTCCTCTTTCAAGATCATTTTTAACCATCCCTTCATTGTAGTGTTCCTGGACCTCTCCATGACACACACATGCATGCATGTGCACACTCATGCACTGAACAAACACACTCTGAAGCCACCATGCCCCTCCCTGTCCTGCAGCTCCTGCTCCATCTGTGACACCACAGCTGCATGTTCTGTCTGCGTGTCTCACTCTCCTCCTGGACTGGTGTCCTTGGAGGGAAACCCTTGCTCATCTGCAAGTCCCCAGGACCTGACACAGGGCTGCTGAGAGCAGAGGCTGCTTAACACTGTTGCGAGTTTTTCAATTGAGTGGATCCCATCATTGTCTGCTCTGTGCAGAGAGAGACCCCAGGGGGACTAGGGGGTTCCACCCAGCCAGGCAGCACCCAGCTGCACACTCAGAATTGAAGTCCTTCACAGTGAGGACAGCAGGAAGCTTACCGGGGTTCTCGCTGCACAAAATCCCATCCCAGAAGCCTCAGTGCTAGAAAGAAGTTTCATTTGAAAACATCACTTCCCAACATTTCTTTTCTGGATATTGATCATATTTCTTTATTATAATAGCCAAAGCCAGGTTAATTTCTAAAATTCTACAAACTTGAGAGAAAACTTGAAATTAGGAGAAACAATAACCCCCTAAGTGGCTCTGGAGACAGGGGCTGAGGAACTAGAAGGGGCTTAGCAGCTGCTGGGGTGGGGAAAATGTGCCCCACTTTGGTGGCACCTCCCCCAACTCCAAGGGAACCCAGAAGGAAAGATGTGTTGATCTGGGCCAGGCAGTGCCTGGCACCTACTGCTACAGTCAGATGTAGTTGGCATCAGTGTGACTGCTGGGCAGAAGAGGAAGCTGCTACCAAGAGCTTCAGCACCTTGCGGGGTCCCTGGCTCCCAGCTGAGCCAGGATGCAAAGCCAGGCTGGGACACTGCTGCCACCTCTCCCCACCCGCCTCACCATGCCTTCCCCTGAGCGTAGAGGTAGCTGTTCCATTCTGTCGCTCACCAGTCAGCAGTTCCCTCACGCTCAGCTAATACCCATATGGCTATACCGTGTCAAGGCCAGATTAATCCACACAATGAAAATAAAATAATCTTTAATAAGAATACTAATCACCAGGCCTCTGGGAGCCCGGAGACCCGGCGGCTGGGCTGAGAATTCAAGGCTGAGACAGATGGAGTACCTCTGGGCCAAGGCCTGGCCCTGCTGCCGACCTGCGATGCTTCCGGAGTTTGTGTGGCCCGCACACTGGGCCCTAGGCCAGGAGGGGCTCCTGCCCCTGCTGAGGGCACCTTGCCAGGCCCTCTGTCAGGCCAGCAGCTGCCTGCGGCCCCAGCCACCTCTCTGCTCTCCCCTACAAAGAGCTTGAGATTTGACAAATAAGGTGTCCGCCAGTGGATGACCAAAGGAAATTAATTCTAAATCAGATTTTAAACACAGCCAGGAAGGCAAAAGAGCTCCTTGTTCATGCTCCCCCTCCGAAATGAGGCGCTGATATTTATAGAAAGATGATTAGGGCTGCAGAGGGTGATTTATATTCTGCGTCCAGGTGACAGGAAAGATGGCAATAGGGACTTCAGACTGTGCTCCATGGGGGAGGCTGAGTCCATGCCCTTTCTGGAGGAACCCTGGGTGGGGAGGAGACCGCCCAGGTGCTAGGTCACTGGGTCAGGGAACCAGCAGTGTGGGGAGCTTTCTTGTTGGAGAGCTGAGAGATTTGAGATTCCATCAACCGCTCCTCGCTGTGTCTCCTTGGGCCGGTCACTTCACCTCTCTGGTGCAGTCTCAGCAAGTCCTCTGCAAAACCGTGCGACATGAGGGTCTTTCTCCTCTGGGGCTTCACTGCCTCCATCTGTGACACTTTCTGGGGAGCTCTGAGGACAGCTGAGAGAATGGAAGCCCAAGGCAGGAGAAAGAAGGGTTGTGGCCCTGGCTCTGGTTGCAGGTCCCTCCTCTCGTTACTGGAAGGAAGGGCCCAGAGGTGGGCAAGCCAGCACCCCCTCCCAGCCCTCCCTCCCCACTGTCTGCTCAGAGAGCAGGGATAGGAGGTCCTCAGACTGGCGGGGGCCCAAGGGCCTCCAGAGGAATCCTGCAGACCTGCTCCAGGACGGGTGGGGGAGCTGTCTCAGGCGGCCAGGAACGTCCCCATGCTGTCCCCAGCTTCTGCTCGGGCCCAATCCTCCCCGCTCTCAGGCTGTCCATCAGGGAGGTGCTGGGTTTTTGCATGGGGTGGGGAAGGGGACACGTGTAGGGCTGCTGGGCCCAGCTCCGTCTGGGAAGGGCCTCAGTCTGGGACCTGTGCTGCTCCCTCCAGATGGGGTGACACAGAGTCACAGAAGCCCACCAACAGGGCTAGAAAATGTCTCTCCTCGTGTGACTTCAAACTGGCATTCCTTCCTGAGTTGTTCTGCCTGCAGTGTACTATGAATTAATATTTTTTATAAAACCTGTAATTATCCTGCAACTAGCATAATTATGTTGTATCATGATTTAAATGCAAAATTCAAAATATGCTACCATTTCCTTACCCAGCCTTGGCATTACTTTATTCTTTTTTATTAACATGCCAGCACCAGGAAATGGGCCTGGTCTTGGCCTCTCCCAGCCTCAAGATGTCCTGCTGCTCCAGCCCTGGACTTTCTGTCCCTGATGTGCTATGGACCTGGGGCAGGACACCTTCCCTCTCTGGGTCCATCTTCCACCTCTGCAGCCCTTGTGGAGCCCAACCCTGCCATCCTCCCATAGGCCAGTATGTCTCAGGGTGCATGGGACAAACCACTGGATTGTTTATGCTCCCAGCAACGTCAGAGCTGGGGTGGTGCTGACCTTGAGCAGGTTGTCCGGGCCTGCCTATGTCATGGGTGGCACTGTGCCTGTCACTAACCTCTGAGTGTGACCCGGCAGGAGGACAGTGGGCTTTGAAGAGGATTTGGTGGACAGAGGAAGCAGTTCTGGCCTCTGGAGTCTGGCAGACTGCTCCTGAGGTGAGGGCCCTTGGTGCCTCTCATGTGTACACTGGGGTTCCAACGTCTTGCAGAGAGGCTGTTGTAAGGGCGAGAAGCTCTGTGAACTCCCCAGAGGTAGGGACTCACTGCCAGATCCCTGGTGCCCAGGACACTGATGCTCAAGGGAGTAGATAACTGACCTAGCATATAAGAGCATTCACTAAAGTCCCTGCACACAGCAGACACTTGAAAACTGTCACCAAGGGGCTTTATTATCCCATCAGAATGAAGGGATGTTGGGAGCCAGCTCTGGCATGGAAAGCAGCCAGGGGAAGACTGGGTGAGGCTAAAAGCCTTCACCTGTGCAGAGCAAGACAGGTCTGACAGCAGTACCAGCTCCACCTCTCACCCACGGTGAGACCTAGGCAGATGGCACTATGTCTTGTGCCTCAGTTTCCCCACCTGTAAGATTTGTAATCCCTGCCTTGCTTCAATGGGCAATGAACTTCAGTATGAGGCATCTCCCTGTAAGCTGCAAAGGCAACAGGGATATTTGTGGTCAGTGCTACCCAGCACCAAGCCTAGGGAGCACAGGATGTCTGTGACAAGGACCACAAGAGGCATGAAGTCTGGACAGCCACGGAGGGCTGAACAAGTCCAGAAATGGGCAAATGCACAGGAGGCGCTTTGGGGCTTAGAGCATAGGACAGGTAAAGACTTGCGGCAGCTGGAGACATGAAGAAAGGTTTGTTGAGAAAGCCAGAAGGTCTGAAAATGAGGAAGAGCTGGTCGCAGAGACCTCTGTGCAACACGACTCCCCGCTGGACATGACTGGCTGCAGAACTGCCTGTGTGTCCCCCGTTGGTCCCGTCAGTCAGCGCCCCCGAGAAAATCTGCCTACCTGTCGGGAGCAGAGCAGGGAGGCCCATGTCTCCTTCCCCTAACTGCAGTCCTGGGACTTGTTTAGTAGTAGGAAAGAGCAAGGAGGACATTCCTAGTGGTTGCTGGGGCTCAGTCCCAGCTTTACAGAGGGTGTCTAGAGACAGGCTATAGCGTGTCTCTCCTCCCTCTAATGAGCTACAAAACCAAATGCTTTTTAAATTTTGACTCAGGTTTCACCAACCCACTAAGTTGTCCAGACTGGTCTCCAATTCTTGATCCTCCTGCTTCAGCCTCCCGAGCAGCTGGAATTATAGGATGCTTATCTCTCTTGATCCTTACATGAGAACATGCCCTCTCCTGTACCTCCTCTGCCCTAGGGAACCAAGGGGCTCCACAGTCAGGTTTCCCTGTGCCTGGGTGGCTGAGGGGCCATGTGTCCCACCCCCAGGGGATCAGGAGGGGCAAGGAAACCAGGCCGAGCCCTGTACCCACTGGATACCAGCTGTCTGCCCAGAGACCCCCTGCTCTCTGGATCCCTGGTGACCACACACAGTCACACACATGCACACAGGCATGCACATTTCCTGAGCTCTGGGCTCCCCCATGCACATACTGGCTCCCAGGCTCAACACGGGTGCCCCCAGTACACCCATGACACACACTGGTGCAAGACTCTGGCACTCAGACATCCTCAACAGGCCCTGACAGTTTCCCCCCAAACACAAGCAGCTTGAACTAGATGGCTGGTGACACCCCAACTTAAGTATCCCCAGGTACCCTGCCTGATACCTTCACAATGCCCCTTATCTGTGCACATCCCCCCAGAGCATGGTCCATGTCCCTCCACTCCACTTCTTAGAACTTTAGTGATTTCCAGCCCAGACTCCAGATTCAGACTTCTGGGTAGAAATCATAGTTTTGCTGCCTCCCAGCTGTGTGACCTTGGGCAAGTTACCTCACCTCTCTGTGCTTCAGTCTCTTTATTTATAAAACCAGGGTAATAACAGTTGCGATTTCCTAGGGGATTAAATGAGTTAAAACACGTAAAGTGCCTAGAACAGTGCTGACCAGAGTAAACCTGCAGTATAGTTCCCTGGCTTAGGTGCATACCCAATCACACAGATTCCCTGAGCTCTGCCTCCATCATACACCCGCAGCTGATCCCCTCTTCTCCCCTCCCCTCCCCCCAGGCACACAGCTGGCCTGCGCACAAAGCAGCTACCTCCCAGGTTTACCCATCCTTCCAGATCCCCCTCCCCCCAGACACTGACGTCCCCGCCCCTCCCCGGAAGCCCCGCCCAGACCGAGCCCAGCACGCTCACCCACACAGGCATCCCGCCTCTCCTCGTAGCCCGCGCTGCACACGCACTTGCCGATGGGCACCAGCCACTCTCCCTCAGCGCTGCAGTACATCTTGGGCGTGTCCCGCTCCTCCGAGTGCCGGACGCACTGGCCCCGCACCTCCACCAGTGAGGAGGAGTCGGCCCCGGTCACCGCCTCCGAGAAGGCCGCCAGGTTGCGCACCATGGCGGGGCACTTCTTGTAGTAGATGCGCAGAGACAGGATGGCGAGGCAGGCCCCGATGTCCTGGAAGGCCAGGTAGAAGCCGCGCTTGCTGAGGGGCCCCACGCCGCGCACCTCCGTGTTGAGCTTGAGTCGCCGGACGCCCAGGTCAGCGCCGGTGAAGCTCTCGTCAGCGGCGATCGTGTCGATCTTGAGGAACTGGCTTTCCTGCGTGCTGGCGCCCAGGTCGCGGTCAGACTCCAGGTAGTAGAGGTTGAAGGTCTCCTTGCAGGTGCCCAGCACGCCCGGCATGCTGTTGCAATCACGGAGCGTGAACTTGATCTCCGCGTAGACCCGGCGTGCGCCATCGCGGGGCACCCAGCTGGTGCGCAGCCAGTTGTTCTGGTTGGGGCTCATGACGTTGCACACCTGGTAGGTGTGGATGGGATGGAAGGACTCGTCCACCTCGCTGATGGAGTCCCACTGTGGGCAAAGAGCACAGCCCCCTAAGGGAGAGGCTCCTGCCCTCCTGCCAACCCCCAAGTCACATGACACAGGTGCTGGACGGGGAGTCCTGCAGGGGGACCAGGGACAGTCACAGCTGCCAGGTCTCACAGAGGGCCTGAGACTTAAGAGACTTGCTACAGGTGAGGAAACAGAGGCTCAGACTCAGTCCCTGCAGGTCTGAGGTCACAGAGCTAGTGGGAAACAGAGCTGGTGCAGGGACCAAAGCCTGACCTGTGTCTCTGAGTGGCCTTGTCCATCACTCCTAGTGTGAGGGGACTTGCTTGAGGAAGTTGGCATGTCGTTTTCATCATCAGCTGACGGCTGGATCTTGTAATATAAGAACCCGGCCATGTGATGCGCGCTGCACCGTCACCTCTGACCCCCCAGCAGCCCCTCCTATATGACTGCTTGCTGAGTAGGTGCCTGACCAAGGTCTCACTTTGCCCTGCTGTTCTTTTCTCCTTTTTTTTTTTTTTTTTTAGGTACCAAAATTGAACTCAGGGCCTCGTGCTTGCCAGGCAGGCACTGCGCCACTGAACAACATCCCCAGCCCTGCCCTGCTGTTCTCACTGGTACCTTGCCCCCATTCAAGGCTCTTGAGCTGGCCTGGGTCCAGTCATTGGCTCCCAGGAGGCAGGGGACTTGGGTGTGATTGCTTCTGTGCTGGTTGCCCGCTGGGCGTGAGTAATCCAGAAAGAGACCAGGCAATCTCAATAGAATCGAAAGGCAACCCACGCAACGGGAGAAAATGTTTGCAAATCATTTATCTGGTAAGGGATTAATATCCAAAGAAAAACTCTGGAAAACTCCTACAACTCAACCTCAGAAAACAAACAGTCCGATTAAAAAATAAGCAAAAGACCTGAACAGATATTTTTCCAAAGAAGATATACAGATGGCCAAATCGCACGTGAAAAGATGCTAAGCACCAGGAATCACTGGGGAAATACAAATCAAAGCCACAATGAGATCCCACTTCATGCCCAGTAGGATGGCTATTATATTAAAAAGAAACAAAAACAGAAAACAACATGTCACTGAGAATGTGAAGAAAGCAGAACCCTCGTGTGTCTGTGCAGCTGTTGTGGAAAACAGGATGGTGGCTCCTCAGAAAAAATTAAAATGAGCATTGCTATAGGATCCAGCGATTCTGAGTCTACACCCAGAGACCTGAAAGCAGGGTCCTGAACAAGTGTTTGGAAACCCATGTTTGCCACAGCATTATTCACTATTGCTAAAATGTGCAGCTAGGGATATAGCTCTGTGACTGAGCACTTGCCTGGCATGTGTAAAACCCTGGGTTTGATCCCAGCAAGGCAAAAAAATGAAATTTAAAAATTTCTTTTAAAGCTTGACTATGGAAGCAGCCCAAGTGTTTATCAACAGATGAATGGATAAATAAAATGCAATATTTATATACAATGGGATATTATTTGGCTGTAGAAAGAAAGGAAATTCTGATATATACTATAACATGGATCAAACTTGAAGACATTATGCTAAATGAAACAAGCCAGAAACAAAAGGACAAACGTTGTATAATTCCACTTATATAAAGTACCTAGGTGAGTCAGATTCGCAGATAGAAAATGAAATGGTGGTTGCTGGGGCTGCAGAAAGGGGAAGGGGAGTCACTGCTTAATGGGTACAAAATTTCGATGTTATAAGACAGAAAGAGTTCTGGAGGTGGGTAGTGGCAATGGTAAATGTATTTAATGCCATTGAAGGGTATGCTTAAAAATGGTTAAGATAAGCCAGGCATAGTGCTGCACACCTATGATGCCAGCGCTTTGGGGGACTGAGGTAGGAGGATCACAAATTCCAGCCCACCCTAGGCAACTCAGCAACCTATTGAGACCATCTCAAAATAAAAAAATTAAAAATTAAAAAGGCTGGGAATGTAGCTCAGTGCAAAGATCCTGGGTTCAATCCCCAGTACCACAAAGCAAAACAAAAAGATTAAGGTTTAAACAGTATATTTTATGTTATGTATATTTTACCACAATAAAAAAGAATAGTTCTGGGGGTTGTGGCTCAGTGACAGCATTTTTCTAGCATGCTGAGGCCTTGGGTTCAATCCCTAGCACCACAAAAACAAAAACACCCCCTAAAAATTCGTAAGACTGGGGTGTATGCAGCTCAGTGGTAGGGCTGCACTCCAAAACAAAATAAAACAAAAAGAACAAAAGAAAAATGCCAGAAATGCTCCTGCAATCAGGAGCCTCCAAGTCCACCAGACAAAGTGGTGTCGGGGTGGGGTGGGGTGAATCTCACTGTATCTCTCTCTCTCTGTGCAAGATACCTGGCTGGTCCCCAGGCCTCCTAGATGTGGGCAGCTGGCCTGGTCCTGGGTGGGGAGGGAAGAGCCCATCTCCCCGGCTACAGTACTGGTCAGAGCAGATGCTGGGCTGAGTCCAGAGGCCCCGAGGCGGTAGCCAAGGGCAGATGTTGGGATCAGCTTTGCCACAGATGCCACGGCTTGGCCTTCTCTATTGGGTCTCTGTGTGCAGTTGCCCTTGAACCAAAGTTCCTATTGTTTAAGTGGGTACCAAGCCTGGAAGACCACTCCTCTCAATGCTCTGAGGATCTGTGCAGCTCTGAGCCTGTTCCGAGTGCTAGGGTGGGAGCCATGGTATCCTGAGTCCTTGACTGCTTGTCACAAGTCCCTCCCTCTGTCCTCATGAGGTCTCTATTCTCAGTGCCCACCTCTGTGAAGTGGGGCTTGGGCAGGTTCTGCCTCTGTGAGGCCTGAGATGATGCAGGGAGGAGATGCCTGTGAAGTGCTGAGCTCAGGCCTGGCACTGGAAGGCACTTCATGATCACGGGACAAATATGCTCCTGAACTGGTAGTGACTCCCAGGCTACCCACCGGCTTCCAGGGCCTTTGAGGGGAAGGGTTCTCATCCAAAGGAGCACCCAGAACACCAACCTCGTCTGCACATGGTTATGCTTCCTGTCCTCCACCTATGAAGGAGCCCTGCCCCACACCCCACACTTTGGCCAGAGCCTCTGGGTAGCAGTGTGCACATCTGGGGTTAAAGTCATTGTCACAATTAATGGAACACGAAAGAGCCTGCCAGCTGCTCCCTGTCTGTTTCCTGCCAGGGCCCTGGATAAATTAATCAGCTCAATCTGAGTTCACTCCAGCCTCCCTGTTGGTGCCAATGGCCTGGCCCAACCTGCCAGGTCTGGGAGCTGCTGTGGACACCTGGAGTGGCATGGATTCCCAGAGGCCTGGCGAAAGGGCCAAAGTGGCCTGCTTACCACTGGCAGTTTAATCCATACAGGGTGCCACTCCCACCCCAGCTGCTCCTTGAGACCTGGAAGTTGACCCCGACATACTGTTCCCCCAACTCTGGCCTCATCCTAGAACAGGACTCAGTAAGCTAGCTGGGTGGCCTTGAGTAGGTGACATCCCCTCTCTGAGCCTTGGACTTCTCATCTGTGAAATGAGGTGGCTAATGCATGCTCCTTCTGTGTGCTCCAGAGGTAGTGAGGAGGTTCAACCATGCTCCTCACCTTAGTAGCTGCTGACTTGCCAGACAAGCTGCAGGCGTCCTGGTGGGTGGAAGTTCTGGGAACAGAGGGAGGGACGCAGTGTGGCTAAGCATGTGGATTCTGGCCCAGCATCCCCTGATGCCAGTGTGGTTTAACCTCGAAGGGACCTGGATTCACATTGGTAAGGTGTCCATTGGTTCTGTGATGGTCCTTATGGTATAAAAGCGGGTCGAGGCGAGGCCAGTGGCCAGCCTGAATCACACTGGCAACAGGAGGCAGAGAGCTGGCCTTCGGAGCCCAGCACCCTTGCCCTTCGCGCTGGGCATCATCCAATGCTGGACTCAGCCCTGAACGACTTCTGAACCCAGATAGCTGGGCAGACTCCAGAATCAGAGGGGTGCACAGAACCTCCAGGGCCAAAGACCCTCCTCCTGGCTGGGCAGGAGAATCACCTGGAAAGTGTATTAAACGGAAGACTCCCAGGCCCCTCTCTGACCTCCTGTGCAGGGGCAACGTGGGCCTGGCTTGGGGACCAGGCCTCAAACTGCTGCCTCCTTTCTTCCATGAACAACCCTGGTCCCCACAGTGACCGAGCCTGGCTCAGTGGACCATAAAGGCCTGCTCAACCCCCACAGCGAGGTCACCTGCACTTATAAGGTGGAGAAGGGACCCAGGGCAGGCGTGAGCCCGCTCAGCACCACCAGGAGCCTGCCAGTGATGGTCGGGTCTTCTCACTGCTCCGGGCCTCAGCAGCCTCTGTGAAACCGGCCCTGAATATCTGGAAGGCTTGGTTGTGGGGTTACATGCAGCATCTTGACTTGTTAAGAGCTATGTGAAACTAAGTTATTCTTTGTTATAAATCCTAAATAAAATAAGAGGCTGCTGTACCATGGTTTAGCATTCACAAACAAAAAGAGTTTCAATTACCCCAGTATGATGTCCAAAGCACAGGTCCTGCAGGGTTCCCACCTGCTCAACACCTGGGCTCCTCGTTACCCTCAGGCCAAGTACTAAGCACTGTGATAGAGACCCCAGAGCCAATCAAGGGCCACTGTGCTCCCCGCTAGCCACTGGGACTAAGGAAATGCTGACTCAGCCAGCAGCTGGGCAGTTGGGGCACCCCGGAGCTGGGTTGGCCCCTGACACAGGTCACACCGGCTTGCATTGCCAAAGCCTTTCTACTCCCCCTGGCCCCTGGGGACAGCCACACGGAGAGGGAGAGGAGTTTCACAGAGGAGGAAACACCCAGCCCTAGGACCCAGCCTCTCCTCAGGCAGGGCTGGCCCACAAAGGCTGCCCCACTGGAAGTTGAGGCCAGGGCACCCTCCTGTCTCTTGAACCTGTACAGTCAGCACCCACAGGGCCTACCAGCTCCCCAGAGCCCTGTGCACAGGGGGTGATGATGGGGGCTCAGGTCACTGCTGCCTGCTAATGAGACCCCAGAGAGAGGAGAGCAGGGCTCTGTCCTGACCTCCACCCCAGAGGAAAATTATCCCAAAGCCCAGAAAGATTCCCCCTTGACACCATTATCATTCTGCTACTAGCATTACTGTCCCTCTGTCCTCAAGCCATGGAAGCTGAGAGTGTCTGTGAAAGAAGTCAGTGTGCTCGATGTGCTCACATCTGTGCTGGGGATGTGTGTGTTTCTGAGCACACTGGTGGGAGGACACGTGCGTGACATGATAACCATAACAGATACTAACAATGCCAGTGATAAAGCCTCTCCCCAGCGAGAGTGCACTGTGTGCAAGCACCATGCCAAGGTGGGTGTCATCCCGCTCCGTCCCGCGCACCCATGTGGCCCTAGCATGCTGCTCCTCTCTACAGATTGGGATGGGCACTGAAGAAGTGACTGGGACCCTGGAGCATCATGGTAGAGCTGGGATCTCACCGGGCTCTGCTGCACAGTGTTAGAAAAGAGAATCGGAGGTGTGGAATATGCAGCCTCCTCC